GGTTCTGTTTATAGAAATACAGTAATGCAAACCATGGGGAGAAGAAGCTCCTGTAAAGTACCTCACCCATGTAGTGAGGAGAGTGCGTTTTGTTGTATTGCTTCCCATTTCAAAATCTAATAGTAATGATCTTATATCATTTAATGTGAAGGATACTACAATGAGAAAAGTGCTGAATTTATTCATAAAAGGGAGGACTTTTTCTATAGTGGCACCCAAATTTTGGAATGCCAAGACTGGTGCATTATTTTCAATGCCATGTTAAAATGTTCCCATTTGCAATCACATTTTAAGAATTTGAAAATGAAAATAAATGTATAATCAATCATTCTTGATTTTAGATACTTTGGAATATAAACTTTTAATGGTGATTATGTCCGTATTTCATTTTATAGCTATTCTGTTTTGTAGTTTTCATCTGCACTGCTACGGGATAACTTGAAGGACACAAAGACAAATTGCAATACAAAATAATCCCATGCACATTCTGTAAACTTGAAGAATACCAAAATAATACTTTTTGATTCCTTGAAAGCTGAGACCAATCAGTAATCAAAGATTGGCACGACACTGTTTTTGAAGTAAATCCTGACATACAGTAGTTCCTTTTGTAGTCTCGAGCACCTCCTCAGAGTAGGTAGTTTCATTGGTGCTCTTACAAAAAGATTTGTCTATTCCCAAAATGAACGTTTTTTTTAAAAAACAACAACACACCACACAGACATTTGATGAGCAGGAACTCCCCATTTCCAGCATGTAAATTTTCCAATTTAATATTGTTAATAGAAGAATTAAAAACAGAATCAGCCAAACAGAAAAGGCAAATGGTAACATGAAGGTCCTGGACACAGCATAGCAAAGTTATATAGGTTATTACACAAATAAGTTACCGCATCCTTAGTGATTGATGGTTTATTTTTATGTCCATTTGCTTATGTAACTCTGCATTAAAAGCTGTTGTAAAAGATCTCTATTTACTGTTTTAGGGTGTTTTTAAAATAATTAATGCGTGAAAAAATATTGTATTATAAAGATCTGCATTAAAATGCTCGATCTGACAAGCATCACATCAAATAAATTTATTCCTTTCATAAACTCCACATTGGACATATAATTAAAACCAAGTTTTAAAAATAAGAAAGTTTTATAACATGAGTTGAAAAATTAATATACATGGCATTAGAAAGCTTTCAATGACTTAAAACACACAATAGCATTCTTCTCATAGTGTGGCAAACAGGATATCATACTTTACATTTGGAATAATTCATTTTCATGACCTCTGTCCTGATGCCCATAATGCCAAGGAATTTACTTTTTACGCATGATTTGAAATAAATTCAAACAGGTAATGTTATGCAATTTTCTTACAATAGTACTGAATTATTTTAGTTTTAAACAAGGAATTAATCATCACACTACTATGTATTTTAATAGCGTTGAATAAAAAATATGGACAGTTATTTATGCCAACTTTCATGAAATTTTTGTTTTAATTGCTAAATAGAATAGTTAATCCAGATAGAGTAGGAGATACATGGAATGGTAGGAGATACAATAGTTTTAGCTATTTAGGTTTTTTATACCCTGTCATCTTTTTCTTCTTCCATTTGTAGTACAATGATGAAAGGAGGAATGTTGAATACATATTAGGAAAAATATCCAACTAAATTAAAATAAACAGACACTATGCCCTTTTGGTATGAAACACAATTTATTGATAAGGGAGAAAAGTAGCAATAGTCTGTTCTGAAAACTTATAAGGAAATAGAGCAAATTTCCACTAAACATTAAAACAAATAGGAGTAGATTCAGCATAGTGTTCTGAGTTTACATAAGGGAAGTAACTGAAAATTAAATACAGGAAGTGTTTGACTTACAACCATAATTGAGCTGAGAAATTTATTAAATGAGTTTTGCCCCATTTTATGATTTTTCTTGCCCAGTTGTTAAGTGAATCACTGCAGTTGATAAGTTAATAACATGGTTGTTAAGTGAATCTGGCTTCCCCATTGACTTTGTCAGAAGGTTACAAATGGTGATCAAAGTGACCCTGGAAAATTGCACCCGTCATAAATGTGAACCAGTT